GGGATCAAGTCTATATCCATTAAACTTGGATTAACATTATTTTTCAAGATTTCATTTGAAATATTTTTCAAAAGTAAAAAGAGATTAGTTATAAAATATTATATTATGAATACAAATCGAAATCAAATCTAGATACATTAAAAGTAGCTTAATATTATTTCTCAGATGATTTCATTTGATATATTTTTCAAAAATTAAAAAAAAATAGTTATCAAAAATAAAAGAGATTTAGTTATCAAATTATTATGTTACGAATATAACTCGAAACTAAGTTTGGACACATTAAATGTTGGTTAGTATATTTTTTTAAGATGATTCTATTTAATGTATTTTTCAAAAACAAAAAAAGTTGGGTTACCAAAAATAAAAAGAGATAAGTACCAAATAATTTTTCTTACAATACAATTTACAACTAGATCTAAATATGTTAAACGTAGGTTAAAATTATTTTTCACATAATTCCATTTGATATATTTTTCAAAAATAAAAAAGATTAGTCACTAAAAAAATAAAAAGGTTACATTCTGATTCTCTCATCTTCTTCCCTTCCCCTTCGTCCTCTATCTTTTCCCCATCCCTCTTCCCCTTCGATCTGAATCTTTTTTTTTTTGTCGAAAGATATACACTGGCATTTCTCTTTATTAATTTGTAATTCGAAATGGATATTTTTCATTTGTTGGTTGAAAAGGGAGTATGATGGGTTTCAATTGACATGGTAAGTTGTACTTTAATATTATTAACTCAGTGTTTAGAGTGATTGTTAAAATTTCACTTGATTTTTTAATTTTGCTTGTGTTGAAGAAGGTTCATTAGCTTATTACAATGTAATACTTGTGGACGACCTTCTATCTGATTTATGATTAATAATGGGAAATGTGATCGTTAATTGCAAAAAGTTCATCAATGGAAAAAAAATCCCTTTGTTTGGAACTGTTAACTAATCATTTTATCTTGCATTTTCAACTTCGACATAATAAGGAAAATTTTGGTACTACTAGCATACATTTTCTTTTCTAGAGGAGAGGCATCATTTTTAGAATATGCATTATATTTTCCTTGTTAAGGATTATTTCTGTTGTATGTCATTAAAAAATATTTATGAGTCTTGATGGTTTTATTTTTAAACAATCATGAGGGTCTCATTTTTGGTATGTTTTGCACCATTGCTATTATAGAATTTCAATGAGTTTAGATAAAAAAAAATAGTTATGCATCAATCTCGGTCTAAAAGAGCCAGATAGACTAAAACGAAATTGCTCATGCTCCAGGCTCTGAAGGTAAATATATACATTATTTAAGATATTAATAGTTAAATATATTTACTTTAAGTGCATGATTATCTATGTGTTTTAGTTTTACGAGAGAAGTGTGGCAGTATGATGGCAAAAGAATAAGTACCTCGAAAAACACACAAAACTAAAGAAAAAATTATGAGTCCAGATAAAATGGGTCATGCATCCGCCAGGCACAACCTGTTTTGCTATTAAAAAAAAAACTAAGGAAAAAGTTTGATTAGTATGGATAAGTATTTCAAAATTATTTATTAATTTTTTTGTCATTGTTTTTCTCCCTTATTTTTGGTGCTTTATTTACTTTTGTTGGAATTTTCTTTTTTTATTATTTTACTTTATGCTAAAAAAGATTATTTATAATATTTGATTCAATTACTGCAAGTAAAAAATATATGCTTTTTGGTCAATATATTTTAAGAATATACATGATTTAATTTGTATTGTTGAAAATAACTTTTATATATTTATATCCCTAAAAAAGTAGGATAGCAGACAATTGATCATATTAATTCGTATTTAAATTTTATTTTTTTTTGATATACTAACACTCTTAAACAAGAAGCATATTTAGATAGTTGAACATATTAATTTGTATTTTAAAATATCCTATATGGCTAAGAAGTACTTGATCAAAGTGGTAACAGTATTGGACCAAGTTAACTACAACCCATGATTAAATCTGTGCATGGGTATGTAGTAATGATTGTTGGGAGCGGTTTGTCTTCCAAAAGTAACCTACCAGATTTGAAGACGAATTAGTTGGAACAATGATTTCGAACACCGGATGCACTATATACTAAAAATGAAAAAAAAAACCATATGACACTCTTGAATTTGGACTCTGAATCCCTAATATACCAAAAAACGGAAAAACTAAAATATATGATACTTTTCAGAAAAAAAAATAATGGTATATTAATATTACTCTAAAATATAGTAAAATCCGCACGTCATAATACTAGTATATATAAACAATGTTGGAGGAGTGTACCGACTCTTATTCACTATTTAGGCATTGGGTTAACGTTGCAAGTGCGTAGGGTGTCATGGTAGTACTAGTAGTAGTTAGAACTTACTAGAGGATTTATACGCGCTTCGCGCGTACACAAAATTACTAATATGACCTTCTAATTTAATGTGAGCATTTTTATATCTATGTAAATTACTGCATCACAAATATTAGCATATTGATATTGTAGTTAAAACATGGAAGGGAAAGCACTGCATTCACAATATCAATGAATTCATGATAATGCAACTTCTTAAGGATGTAGTAACAGGAAGGTATAATCATCTGCATTTATCTTTTTGCCTACTTTGACACACACACACACACACACACATATATATATAATATACATATATATATATATATATATAAAATCTCTAGATATATTATCTGTGCATGTTAATTTCATCAGTGCCTCTGATTGTTACAATTAAAAAATTTCAAGAAAACTTGAAACTTAATGAAAAGATAGGATCGTTTCAACGGGTTTCCAGCATCACAAATGTATGAACAATGGAAAGGCAAAATAAATAATCATAGAGAGGAGCGATTATTATTTCTTACCGTAGGAAAAAAAGATTTCATAAAAAATCATGAGGAAGACAGTGAATGTTAATTCTATAAAAACTGAAGATTAGAACTACAACAATAAAGAAAATAAAAATTAATTCTACAAACCACGGCCGCTTCTTTCAAATATTGTTTAGAGTAAAAAGTTTAAATATTTTTCTTTGTTCTCGTTCTTATAATGGGGGAGTTGAATACATACTTCACCATGTGATTTTTCATCTTCACTCAAATTTGTGGGAACTTTTTCTTTTTTTCAATATAGCAAAGAAAAAAAGTACCATAGAAAATAAGAAAAAGAAAGACAGATAGGCAAAAAAGAAAGTATGAAATCTTACAATAGAGTTATGCCTAATGGCCTTTTTTAAAAGAATATGGAAAAGTAACGGGCATAGCAAGAGACAAGTAACATAACACGTATGATTGTTATGGGGGAGATGATTGATCATTTCATATCTCCAAAAAATAATGAGTATATGAAATTCATAAAGGAAGAGTAATGACAATGAAAACTTTTTAGGTTCCAACCTACAATTTAACTTCTATTTGTTACTTTTGCCATCATAAATATTAAAAAGAAAGAAAAAGGAAAGAGATTAAAATAAAAGATATCACACGTTTGGAATTCCCTAAATAATGGCATTGAAAACTTTTTAGGTTACAACTCCTATTTGTTATTAATTTTGCCTTCAATGTAAAAACAAAAAAAAAAGAAAGAAAAGAAAATATAAATAAGTAAAAATAAAAGAAGTTACACGTGATAAACACAAATATACACATGTGAAGGACTACCAAAATGATGTCCATATTCCCCAATTATAATATATATTGATAACAGACAACATAAACTTCAAAGTTAATTAGTGTAATAATAACGAATGCAAGAAAAATATAAAAGAAAGATATAAAATATAAAATCAATCAAAATATAAAATCCAGATAAAATAAGAGAAAATTTGACATAAGGGCAGTGAAAAAAGTGAAATTTATAAAAGGGGTATGACCAAAACATATTTTTTTTTGAAGGGCGGTAAATGTTTTGACCAAAATCATAAAATTTAAAAACTTTTATTCGGACATACTTGCCCTTATTATCAATTCCAGGAAAAAAAAAATAATTTCTTCTTGTTCAGAAAAAAAATCAATTCCAAATGGACGGAAAGAACAGTGAAAACAAAGACAATAAAAAATTTGGAAACGTTTAAAAATTGGTTGATTACATCGAAAAATTTAGAATGAATTCAACCACTTATGCATGTTGTTTCTGTGGCACTGTCGACCACAATATTCACGGCTTAGTGCACCTGTTTTTTCTTTGCCTTTTGTGCAACACATATATGGAAATGGAATCATGCTGGTTGGTAGAGCTGTAGCAACATTTTTTCAAACTTTGGTTTCAATCTCTTACTCTGAAGCTTGATAAGGATAAGGCTTGACATTTCGGGATTCTTTTTAACATTTTGTGGTACACCCGTAATGAAAGAATTTTTGTCTAGAAACCGATAACACATTGCGAAGTGATTTTATCAGCAATATCAGAACTCCAAATTAATATGATCAAGTTTTGTCTATTAATTATGGAGTACAATTAAGGTTTTTGTTGAAACAATGTAGGCGAAAGATTTTTTGGGTTTCTTTTATTATTTTGGGAGAGGTAACAATAAGGACATTTATGTATAAGTAAAAGTGTTTTATTTTTATGATTTTGGACAGAATATTTACTGCTTTTAATCAAAAATATTTTTTTGGTCATACCCCTTTTATTAATTTAATTATCTTCACCGTCCTTTACTCAAATTTTTCCAAAAAATAAAGTGACTCCCAATTTTGGTACTATAAGACAATAAAGAATTGTATAAAACAAAACAAAACAAAAACAAAAAAATAATAATAATAATAAAACAAAAAAAAAAGAACTATAAAGACCCAAACTCAGAGAAATGATTACTAGAAAAACTGTCACACCTTCAAACTTGAAAGCTCAAAACGCAAGATTCTGAGTTCTGACCCTAAACAACCTGGGTTATTCACTGTTTCCACGGTCAAAGGCCCCGACTAGAAGTCTCGAATTTATAAAAATCCAATCTTTGAAGAGCCTGAGGTCTCAGATTCCTTGAAGAGGGATTTCTTGAATGAGGTCCTTAGATTGTGAGGATGCCCAAAATCTTACGAGTCCGGATCAGAAATCGCCGGAGAAACCTAGCGTGGAGAATTTGTTGCTAGATTTCGATTTTGATCATACTGTTGGGAAGAGGTTGATGTCCATTAAAGGGGCTAGGAGTGTGGTTTTAATGGTGGTTGATGCATTAGATTCTGATGGTTCTTTTCCTAGGAAAGTGGCAAATTTAGTTTCTAAGACGATTGATGAGTATTCACGGCCATGGAAGGAATGGAAGTCAGTGCCCAGGATAGTGTTGGTTGTGACAAAGGTTAATCTTTTACCAGGGTCATTCTCTCCTACAACGTTTGAACATTGGTGTTAGGACAAGGGCAAGAGAGGGTGGAGGGGGTAAGTTGACTAGTGTTATTTGGTGAGTGCTGTAAGTACTGGGCAATAAAGATTTTAGTTGATGATGTGGTAGACTTGGCTGGAGCAAGAGGACAGGTGTGAGCAGTTGGGGCACAGAATGCAGGAAAGAGTACATTGCTTCATGCCATAGGAAAATTTACTGGCGAAAATGTGACTCGTTTGACTGAGGCGTCTGTACCCGGGACGACTTTGTGTATCTTAAGGGTGGAAGGAGTGGTTCCTGGTAATGCCAAGCTGTTTTGGACTCCAGGGCTTTTGCATCCTCATCAGATTTTGACTAGGCTGATAATTGAAGAGCAGAAACTGGTGTATATTAAAAACGAGCTGAAGCCGAGGACATATAGGATCTATGTAAGTCTTACTATGATGGATTGTTATAAATAAAACTTATTGCGTGATTTAGGATGATCACATTACATGGTTGAGTTCAGTCATTAAATTGATGATTTTCCCCTGTATGTTTTCTAGTTGCTATCTTAAATAAATATAAGTTTATGTCAGAGGTTCAATATCGTAAATGGATAAATACAGGGTTTTGTTGCCTCAGTGTTTTTGGGTAGATTCGAAAGCCGTAGAAAACTGGATATCTAATGTTATGCAATGAACATTGCCTTGCTAGACTGACAGACATCTGCTTTGGTGTCTTTAGTTTTCCAGCCTTGTTACTAATTCTGCTTCTGTTGTGTTCTTGTTAAGTAAAGACCTTAATAATCGTTGTTCTGCATCCACAAAATATTGGAGATGTTGGATGGCAGGACCTGTTTGCTTTGTTCGTCCTCTTAAATGCAAACTAGTGAGGCATCATCCATATGTTAGATAATCACAAATGTTCATGAAGATTTTATGTCCAACTTGAGTGTTCTTAAAGTTTGTGAAGTAAGTCGAATTGGAGTGTGCATTCTACAGATGGGTTTGTAAGCTTATACCGGCTATTTTTGTGCAATAGGTAGGACATTTAGTTCATGTTGGAGGGCTGCTGAGGTTGGATGTAGAAGAATTATCAGCGGATTCTCTTTATGTTACAGTCTGGGCTTCTCCACTTTCTCCACTCCACATGGGGAAGACAGAGAATGCTTCTGCTATCTTGAGAAACACTTTGGTAACCAGGTACAGGTAACTTGAGCAATTTCTGATCGGATTAGGTCCATCTGACCTTTACATCTTCCATTTATGAAGGTGAATACCAGATTGTTTGAATGAAATTTGTCATTCCTCCTCTCAGTAGGACTTTAGGATAAGCACCGAAAATCGTAGATATGTGCACAGAAGATGATATCAGCTTTTCATTTTTTCACAGTATACACTAGGATCTCATTAGGAGATTTTTGTTAATGTATTTTTGTTTGTATCTGTTTCGGAAATCTTTTCTTCTTTTTTTTTTTTTCCCTGTTTCGGGAATCTTACCTTAGCATTTAGGTTTTTTAAGTCTGGACTTTGTTGCCATGCAAGAACCCAATTTCTGAAGCTTTTGAAGTCCTATCACTCCCTTTTCAACTTCCCTAGAAATGAACTTTCACGTGCTAATGAGATTTTAGTTGAGCTTTTATGGAAGAGTTTTTCTGAAATTTGAAGGGTCATTTGTAGTACTGGCATGTTGTCATTTGTCACTATCCCAAGACTTGGAATTCACTGTTTTCATTAATGTTTTCTGGACCACACTATCTTTGCAGAGTGTCAAGATCTTATATGATTTCGCATATATACTTGTATCCCTTTGTTTGTGTAAGTTTGACAGATTGGTTGCTCATTCATATTATGTAAAGAGAAATCTTGTATTGAACAATGCATTTCACGAACTTCTTTTTCGTCTCCATCTGATCCCTGTAACTTGTTGTGTTGATTCTTCTTGTAATATATTTACAAGCTCTATGCTTTCATATTGGTTTTTCCGGAGTTTCTGTGCTGGTTATAAACATGTGAAATGAAATGATTTAATGATGGGAAAGTTTCTTCTTGTAATCAGTCTTCACTCCTCCTAGAATTTAATCTTGGCTTATTACTAACTAACTTGAAATTTATTTAAGCAATCCAATGATTGAGAATATTCTGGATACAATTGACCCGCCAGACCCCAACTTGGTTGGAAATATGCTGGGTATGTTGCTGTTGTTGTTGTTTTAATCCGATTATTGAGTTCGAAATTTTGTCAGTTGCTAGACATCTATCTGTTCCTGAACCTTACCAATGTGTTAATGCTTGTCAGCCGCCTATTGGGCAAGAAAGAGTTGAGAAACCTGTGAAATGGGTGAGGAAGGAATTTCGTGTAACTGGTCATTAGATAGAAGCTCTATTGATATTGCTGCAGCTGGACTGGGTTGGTTTGCCATTGGAATTAGAGTAGAAGCTGTATTAGGTGTTAGGTCGTACGATGGAGTTGACATTGTCTCCCGCAATGCTCTGCTTCCTGGAAGATCACACAGCTATGAAGTTGCAGGCTTCACAGTTCCGAAAATTATCACCAGGGCAGATCGAGCAAATAAACAGCACAAGAAAGAAGAGAGGAGACAAGTGACCGTATCTAATGAGCTAGACCAACAAAGTGACTCTGCTGTTGTAGCTCCTGATGCTCCTCAAACATTAACTGTAGATTCTGTTTGTAATACTTGATAAGTTTGTTATAGTCAGCTGTGATCTGATGGAAGGAATCATTGGCGCAAATAAGTGTCTCAATCCTAAATCTGTTTTCTACTTGATCATGAAATGACTGTACAAATTTATTAGCCTAGGCTAGAAGCAGTACTTCCCGTGCTTATACAGTTAAACCCGCGGAAGTTGCTGCATGAGATTCAACTTCTGTGAATTCAGGTTACACTTTTAAATGGCTTGGAGAGTTTGTGATGAGTTAGGTGAAGAATTGGGAATCTCTACAATCTTTGTGTAGGCTCCTCCTTGATGGCTATTCAGGGGCTCAATGCAATATATATTCTTATTGGTTGCCATGTGAAAAATTCTTACCACATGCCATATTATCTATACGTTATTTGTTTTTTTTGGTCTTTTTCTCCATGAAGTGACTATACCATCTTGTCCTGTACTTACTAAGTTCCAGCCTGCCCCCGGTGATATTGGGGAAGTTCTTATCTGTTTGTTTTGGAGCGGATTTTCTCTCGATTCGTCAAATTTTAATAGTCTTCTGTGCACATTTAAGTCCTACAAAAATTTCATTATTTAAGTATATATATTAACAATCTAACTTCATTTTGATTAAAAAAAAAAACTTTAAAAGATGAATCAATTCAAATCGTTTAACTCACTATTTTATTTTTTTTTCTCTTCTTTCAATTTATTTTCTTTTTTCTTTTCTTTGTGGGGTATGGTGTTAATGCATAATAGCTAGAGCAGGCTTGTCCTTCCAAAACAAAAGCAAACATAATGGTGTGATGGAACCCGTGATTTTGTGTGTCACTCATTATATATGTAATTTTTTTTTTCTTTTTGGAAAACCATCATAATGTTGACATTTTCATATAGTTTTCGCTGTCACTACCAACTGATTAATTATTTTGCTTCCTCCTCACTTTCTTCCACGTTTGTGAAATCGTAACCTCTTAAAGTCTATACCTTTATGGGAAGCAGACTATAAATGAAGGAAAACCTTGTGAAAATTAGATGATAATGTCATTTCTGCCTTGCTTATATTTTCGTTCACTCCATATAAAATGTCATGTTCGATCAACACATATTTTCAGTCATTTTATGTCTTCCACAATAACATACAAACTTTGATTGTCTTAAAACAAAAGTCTACTGAAAATTTCTCCCCCTCAAAATATGACCGATCCAAACATATTGTCAATTATATATGTCTTCGAAAATAATATATTCTCGTTATCTTCAAAGTTAAAACAGTAGTCCATTAAAAAATTTTCCATATCAAAATAAAGATGGATTGTGATTAACTGATCTCTGATTACACTCCTACAATTTTTTTTTTTTTTGACAAAAAGTAGAGACAACTGTCCATAATCGAACTTCTCGGGGATATGCAATTCCGATTACACTCCTACAAGTTAAGAGGTGTGATTATCAACTGCACGGTAATGACATTAATGGAGCGGAGATAACAAAGAGTTTCATTTGTTCCATTGTCTTCGTGTAACTAATAAAACAGTATAATCTGTTAAAACAAACTCTTTTAATGAGAACAAACAGAATATATACTCGGAAAAAATTAATCAACATTGTAAAATATATAAACAATGTTGGAGGAGGGTACCAACTCTTATTCACTATTTAGGCATTGGGTTAATGTTGCATGTGGGTAGGATGCCATGCTAGTAGTAGTTAGAACTTAGAACAGACAGCTTTAAACTTCAAAGTTAATTAATGTAATAATAACGTACCTTCATCAATCAACTTGTGTTTTAGTTATGACTGTGAGCTTACTCACATTCAGTGCCTAATAATGGTGGATATAAAAAGCATTACAAGTCACTCAAAAAAAAAAAAGAAAAAGAAAAAAGAAAGAGTTGGATGTTCCATCAGCTGATTTAATACTTATCTTCCTACCTAAAATTTCTTATTGTACTACACAAGAAAGGGCTTTAAAGCTATGGATAATTTCCTACTTGGCTCCCTTGATAAAAACCAGATTTCATTCTGCCCCTTTAGCTCTTAATTAATATCCATTTTGGATCAATGGGTTGAGGGTTTTAAGAAACTTGTACTTTTCTGGTCGCAAACTTATATTCTAACTTGTATTTAGTATGTTATAAGAGAATCATTTTAACACAAAAATAAATAAATAAATTTTTGTGGGAGAAGATTCGGGGAAAAATACACTAAATAATCTGATTCGTGTGATGTGGACAATCAATTCTCATAATTGATTTTGGTTGATAATGTACATTGAAACAAAAAAGCACCTGGTTCAAGATTTTCCCATTAGAGATAATTGTTGTTCTTATGAAGTTTGTTATTTAACGAAAAGAAAAATATGAGGTTTGTTATCTTTTCATTTTTGATCGTAAAATTTGATGGCCATGTAATTCAAGCATCTAATAGAAATATTTGTGTTTCCTTTAGAAAAACAGAGGGAATATAAGTGGAGGTGATTGGAGGGTGGTTAGGTTGGCAGATGCAAAGAGGTTAGAGAGACAAAATAAAATAGAATTAGTCAAGCTAAGTTTGGATTTTAATTTTATCAAAATGAGTAGTAAATGAACCATATGAGATTAAAATTTCACCACATTGGGATAAAAGGCTTAAACAAAAGGGAATGATATGATGTTGAAATACAATTTCTTGAGTATTATGATATTCAAGAGAGTCGTAGTAAAATAATACTTGACATTTGTAAAAAAGAACTATGTACTTTCTTTTATTTTCTAATTATCTAAACCATCACCAAAAAATTGCATAATTGTAACTTGATCTATCATGCTTTCATCATAAAGAAAATGTACACGGAGATAAAAGCAGAATTTTTCTTTTTTATTTTTTTTTTCTTTTGACATTTTAACCTTATAATTAATTTTCCATAACGAGTATTCTTACTTTCAGTAGGTGAAAATTAAATACAAAAATACTAGAGAACATGAAAGTAATAAAAAGAAATTGTTAAAACATATTAAGGAAAAAAAAATACGGTTAAAAAAAATACGGCTAAACCTGAAAGAAGAACAATGAAGGTTTAACTCATATCAATAATTTTCTTAATTAATTGACGAATTATTAATTGAAAGCATACAACATCAAACTTTCATTTCAAAAAATTTGAGAAAGCGAAAGAAATAATTAACAATTTAGTCGGTAGTAATAATGCCAAAGAAGGTGGGGACTCTCATGGTGTGTATACAATATTTAAATCTCAAAAGGACTTCATTATGACACATACATAAAATAAAAGGGTCTGAATCAATATACATACCAAAAACAAGGGACGAAAATGATAAAATCTGCCTCCAAAAAAGTAAAAGTGCGTTATTATTAGCAATACCAACTGGGAAAATTCAGAAAGGAGATCTCATCTCATTTTGGGTCTGTTTTGAAGTAAAAAAATGTTTTCTTTATCCCCAAAAAAGAAACAGTAAAACTGAAATCTAGACAAAAACAGTTCAAATTTCATATCCTGGATTTGGAAACTGACCCTGCTAAAAAAGTGAAACTGTCATATAAGTTTTTAGTTGAAGTAGTGTTTTGCTCTGCTGTACTGATTAGTAGTTGTTGGGGGAGAGAATTTTTTGAAGCAGCTGGTCATGGTGTGTGGCCACTCTGTACTCTTTTGTGTGTGACTCTGTGAAGAACAAAACAAACGCCGACCCCCTTTTTTTTTTTTTCCCTTCCCATTTAGTTCAGTCTGAGTTTCACAGATTGACAGATAGATCACTGATTCCCTCTTTCTTTTTTCTTCTGTAAATTTCCTTATGTACAATTAGATCCAACCACCTGCATTCTTCACTTCTTTTCTCTTTCAAATTCTCCAGTGAAGAAAAATAACCATACCCATCATTTCTTCTCTGTTTTGGATTTGGGAGTTAATCGTTCATGGCGACTGCTGCCAAAACCAAGTAAGTAGTTCCGGATCTGATGTGGGTTTTTAGTCTTTCTGAATATCTTTTGATGTTTGTGTCGATTTCTGAGTTTTCTGCATTATGCAATAATCTGTCTTATTTTGATGTTATATTGCTCATTATAGCTTCCAATTTGAATTGAAATTGTTGATCTGGATTTTGCTTAATTTTCCCACTCCCTTAATCGCTTGATTGCTTTGCCACCAATGTGGAATGGAAATCGATTGTGCGGATAGATCTTCTGTACCTTGCTTAATCTTAAAAAAAGTAGCCTTTTTGTGCTTTGGGTTTCTTAGTTTTTGGAAAGATTGCATTTTTTCTGTTCATGGGTCGACGGTTTACTTTAATTAGCAAGATCACAATTTTCCTTTTCCGTTGTACTGAATATGGCTTGAGTTGGATAATGTATGATCTTCCACTGGTTGTGTAATGATAATGTGAACTGTCTACAGATCCAGTAGTTTATCTGAAACGACTCCAAATAGTAAACCATCAACGCCAAGCCCTCGGGTTAGTAAAGTTAGCAGCAGGGTTGGTGGAGTGACTAAATCCGATGCCGATTCGCCCTCCCCTGTGCAAAATCCCCGCATTTCAGTGGATAGGTCCCCACGATCTGTTACTTCCAAGCCTAGCATTGAGCGCAAGTCCTCAAAGCTTAGCACCACTCCTGATGTAAGCAAGCCAGCAAGGCTCAGCACCACTCCAGATGTTAGCAAGCCCGCGAAGCCTAGTGCCACTCCAGATGTAAGTTTTCTTTCAATGCTGTGGGAGAACTGATTGATTCTTGCCTGAGATGTGTATTCTGTCACTGACTTGCTCTTGTTACAATATCTACAGAAGAAAGCCACTCCACCTCGTGCATTGAAGACGTCCGAGTTGCAGGCTGAACTAAACAGTGTTCAAGAAGATCTTAAGAAAGCTAAGGAAAAATTGTCCCTGTTGGAGAAAGAGAAAATTCAGGCTCTTGACGAATTAAAAGAAGCCAAGAAGTTGGCTGATGAAGCAAATGAGAAGCTCAGTGAAGCTTTGGTGGCTCAAAAGCGAGCCGAAGAAAATTCTGAGATTGAAAAGTTTCGAGCTGTGGAGATGGAGCAGGCTGGCATTGAGGCAGCTCAGAAGAAGGAAGATGAATGGCAGAAAGAGCTTGAAGCTGTGAGAAACCAACATGCTGTAGATGTGGCTGCCCTTCTTTCGGCTACTCAGGAACTTCAAAGGGTAAAGCAAGAGCTGGCCATGATAAATGATGCAAAAAAGGAGGCACTTAACCATGCTGATGATGCAACTAAGATTGCAGAGATGCAGGCTGCAAAAGTTGAAACTCTCTCTGCTGAAGTTGTCCGGCTGAAGTCTTTGCTTGACTCTAGGATGCAGACAGAGGCTGACGAGAATGCCAAATTGATGGCGGAAATGGATCTTGAGATTGAGACTCTGAAGCAAGAGCTTGAGGAATCGAAGGGATACAAGGAGAAATTATTGGAGAAGGAGTCCAGCCTTGAACAACTTAATGTAGAGCTGGAGGCTGCAAGAATGGCTGAGTCCTATGCACACAGTTTAGTGGATGAGTGGAAAAAAAGGGTTGAAGAATTAGAGCTTCATTCAGATGAAACAAAGCGGTTGGAGAGATCTGCATCAGAGTCTCTCCAGTCAGTAATGAAACAACTTGAAGAGAGTAATGATTCACTGCATGATGCAGAATCGGAGATTGCAACTCTTAGAGAAAAGGTGGGATTACTGGAAATCTCAATCAAAAGGCAGAGAGTAGACTTGGACGAATCGGAACGTCGCCTTGAAATGGCTAAGGATGAAGCTTCAAACTTGGAAAAGGAGGTTGCATCTCTTACTGCCGAGATTGAAACCTTAAAGGAAGAGAAAATTCAGGCTTTAAACAATGAGAAACTTGCTGCTGAGAGCGTGCAAACCTTATTAGAGGAGAAAAACAAGCTCATAACAGAACTGGAAAATTCTAAGGATGAGGAAGAAAAAAGTAAGAAAGCAATGGAAAGTTTGGCATCAGCTTTGCATGAAGTTTCTACAGAAGCCAGAGAAGCCAAGGAAAACTTACTATCTGCTCAAGGTGAGCATGGACATTATGAAACGCAAATAGAAGATTTGAAGCTTGCCTTGAAAGAAACAAATGAGAAGTATAAAACCTTGCTTGATGATGCAAAACAAGAGATTGATGTTCTCACGAGTTCAAATGAGCAATCTAAGCAGGAGCTGCAGGAGCACGAGAAGTGGAAGACTGAGTGGGATCAAAAGGAGCTTCAGCTGATGAATTCTCTGAAGAAAATCGAAGAAGAGAACTCTTCAATGGAAAAAGAAATAAGTAGGTTGGTTAATTTGCATAAAGAGGCTGCTGATGAAGCTGGAGCAACAAAGGAAGAAGAAATGAGACTAAAGAATTTACTCAAGGAAGCCGAATCTGAGGTCACCTATTTGAAGGAAATTATTGGAGAAGCAAAAGCTGAGAGCATGAACTTGAAAGAAAGTTTAATGGACAAAGAAAGTGAGCTGCAGAATATTCTTCAGGAAAATGAGGAGCTACGAAACAGTGAAGCTGCTTCCCAGAAGAAGATTCAGGAGTTATCCGAACTGCTTGAAGAGGCTTTGGCCAAGAAACAAGCTAAGGAAAATGGTGACCTAACAGACAGTGAGAAAGATTATGACATGCTACCGAAGGTCGTGGAATTTTCTGAACAGAATGGAGGGGGAAGTGAAGAGAAGGCAAAGATTGTACTCCCGACTGATCACTCTGAGCATCCACTTGAGGAAAACATAGAAAATGGCTCACACGATGAAGCAATTGATGCCGGTAATGAAAAGGAGGCCACAAATGGCAAGCTTAATCAAAATGAGGGTCATAAGGAGGACGATGATTCAGTAGAAGCTGATTCGAAAATGTGGGAGAGCTACAAGGTTGGGGAAAAGGACTTCTCCCCTGAAGGGGAAGCCGAGCAGGAATCTTTCGAGGAGGATCTGGAGTCTAAGGCCGAAGGTAGTGAGGCTGCTGACGAGGCTAACGGGGTGTCATTGACAGGAAACCACGAGAATGGTGGAACATCACCATCAAAGCAACAAAGTCAGAAGAAGAAGAAACCCCTGCTCAAAAAATTCGGAAACCTACTGAAGAAGAAAGGCAGTAGCAACCAGAAGCAGTAGAGTCCGGTTTCCTTATTTTCTCCTTTTTGTAAAGATGAATATTGTTGGTCTAGTCTTTTTGTGTGTGTCTACTGTCAAGAACTCATATTGATTTATTCTGTAAGGAGCTTGTTGCTGTCTAGAATTTGTTAGTTTAGAGTGGATTTTCAAACAATGATGTGTATTATTTCTTCATATTTCTTGTTGGCATTATTATTTTTAAGGAAATATAGCAAAGGTTTGAACGCTCCAGAATTTTTTTAAAAATTTCTTACAAAAATCTAATGATATTTCTAAGTTGGAAGTTATAGTTACAGCATCAAACAACAAAAGAAATGCCTTCATTTATATAGGTCATATTTGTTATTATTATTCGGTGCACACATATGTACTATGTAAATTTAAATACTACTTTCGTTTTTATTTTTTTGTCGTTTTAGGGTGAATTCAAAGTATTTTTTTTATCTGTCGCACTTCATTTTTAATGCAAATTAAATACAATTTTTTTAATTTTACCCTTATTTCTCTCTACTTTTAATAACATATATATTAATGACAACTACCTACTCTTTTACTTCAATTTGAAATTTTTTAGAGTTCCAATACTTTTAGGCAAGAAGACAATACTTTTATAAATTAAATTTTCAATCATTCTTTTCTTAATAATTGTGCAAATCCTAAAGCAACAGATAAAAAAAAATGGAGGTAGTATTTTATATTATTCTGCAACATCACAAAATAATTTTCTTGTTACGAAATCTCTCTACTAAGCTCAGTTTTGTCTCCTCACATACGAAATCTACTCCGACTTTATTGATTCTCTTGGGAGAAGATTGCCCCCATATTTATAATCACGGACCCCCAAAAAAAAAAAAGAATAATAGTGTGATTCAATAATATTCTTAAATTTGAACTTGATATAAAAAAAGGTCTAATGTAGCCAAAAATCAACCTTTAAAACTGAAGGTAACATCAACAAACAAAATGCCATTATCATGTGGGGGGACTATTATAAGATACAATGATCGGTATGAATATGAGCACGCGAGAAATCAAAACAGTCATAGTTCGAGTATGTTTTCGATAGAATAAGAGAACTGATCTGAAACATTTTCAAAGAAGCAACTGAAGCTGATATGCAAGTTACTCCCTATAGTCCTTAATATACAATGATCGGTATGAATATGAGCACGCGAGAAATCAAAACAGTCATAGTTCGAGTATGTTTTCGATAGAATAAGAGAACTGATCTGAAACATTTTCAAAGAAGCAACTGAAGCTGATATGCAAGTTACTCCCTATAGTCCTTAATATACGGCATTGTGATTTGTCATAGATTCTACCTAGTATTCATTTTTAAATGATAAAAAAATTTTAAAAATATTTTCTAACAATCAAGTGAATACAATGAATGTGAAAAATATAATTTTAATATTTTTTTGGTCAATTAAAAATACGTACTATATGAAATCTAGAACAACTACAAAATGTTTTATATTAAGAACTGGAGAGAGTACGTCGCTATTGATGCTTCAGTACTTCCTCCCATCCATTTTAACAAATGTTGTCAGATTTGGCTCGGACACCGACTCGACAAGGACAGGGGTTAGGGATTTTAGGAATCGATTCGGGTCGATTCGGGGGTCGACTCGAATGACGTCATTATGATGTAATAAATAATATATAATTGTTATATATTAAAAATTAAAAATTTTAATATTTATGTATCTTTTTCATGATAATAGTCAACAATATTATTTTAAAGAATTTAATTATAGATTTTAAATAAATATATTAGTTTAATAATTGATAAATGTGAGATATAGTTTCAACATATTTGAGATATAGTTTAAATTTTGAATAAAACAATAGAGGTTCAAATGTGAGAGAAATAATAAAAGGATTTCTCTTTTAAAAGAATGGTGTGTTTAATAATTGAAGTGAAAATTTAGGGCTAAAATGACAAATTAATTCTTTGAATTAAAGTTATTGGGTCATTTAAGAACAAAAGACAAACATATGAAGCAAGAATGATAAAGAAATACACGAAACTCGAGGAGAAAAAGTCAAAAAAACTAGCCAGCTTTTACAAAAACTAAAAACTCCGAGTCGATCAGGGTTTGATCGGTTCCCGGTTCACTCAGAGTTTTGACCGGTTTTAACCGAGTCTTAAAGAGGCAAGTTTTTAAGTGATTTGGCTTGGTATATGGTCCGGTTTTCGGTTTAATCGGTTGATCCGACCCGTTTGAGTCGAGTTTAACAACATTGATTTTAACTAGATGCTTGACCCGGCCAAAAGGCCGGGCAGCCGCCTTCATATATATATATATTTATATTCTATGGCATTACTTTATGAAATTAAATTTTCTTTCAACAAAATAACAATAAAAACATAATTTAAGAGCTAAGTTATACATTCACAACTTGTGAGAGGAAGGCTCCATTGTATTCGACCCTAAAAACAAAAAAAAAAGAAAAAAAGATTTGTTTGTATAAGGCTACAGACAAAAGGTAGTTTGGAATTATAAAAGAAGTGAAACCTCTAATTTCCATTACCGAAAATTCTTGTCACAGTCAACACTACTACTTAAATCACATTTCTATGTTCACAAATCTATTTACTCGTTGGAATATTGAATAACAAATATCAATAAATCCACGGTCAACACTACTATTTTGATTTTTTTTTCTTTATTTATATTATATGTTTACATTAATGAAATTGATCGTCTAATCAAAACATTGGAATTTGACATTTGATATAACGAACATGATGCCTGTGAAAAACACTACCAAACAGTATAGGATCTATCACATAGAAAATGTAAGTTAATGATTTCTTCAAGCTGGGAAGTCTCGAAAGGTTTATACTCGCAAAGCTCAAGTCCAAGGAAATACCATGGTGACTCAGTTGCTTTGTACTGTTTTCATCATTAAAATGATGTTCAAGGATTCCAAGACCATGATCTTCTTTCTTTTTTGGGTGAAAAAAGGCAGTTGGTCCGCTTTTCTATTTACAAACTATACCCAAATCAAATCATTCTTTGTTCAAAGGCCATTGCATGCAATACAACTGACTTTCGGCAACCGTCATATGCTACAGGATAAAAAATCTAGTTACTTTACATACTATTTAGTCAGTAAATTCAGAAACCAAAAAATTGAGCAGTAATTCATAACTTCCAAATCCATTCAAAAACTGTAAGTATTTCAATGCTAAATATGCAAAGTTGGACCAATTCTAAGAGGCCAAAATTGATGAAAGCATAAATCTCAACAAAAGACAGAAGTTTTTTAAAAGTTCAACCTTTTCAACTATAGAAGAAAAGATTTACCCTGACAGTCCCAAACTCACAGCAAAATAAGTAGTAGTTTAATTATACAAACATAAATATGCAAAACCATGATTTTAATCAATCAAAGATCCTTTTCAATATAGAAAGTAAAAAAGTCAAAATTTAATATTTTTTTTCCCTTAGACAAAGGTTGCAGCTTTTCTGTGGCTATAATAAGTTTCATATGAAGCCACTTCGAAAAAGAATCATGCAAAACACACCTGAAACATATAAGCAGGAAGCAAAAATGACAACCTACGTACACAAACAAAGAAGCGTCAGTAGCTGCTTACCGGATCTAATCGAAGCTGCGACAGCAAGACTAATATGAATTTGCAGAGGTTTGGGACATAGGAACCAAAGTAATGTGTCAAATATGTCCTCCACTGTCCTAATTTTTATGCAATTGATCCAACAAAAACACAAAAGAGATTTAGAGCGAAAAGCAGATATCTCCACAAAATTAAAGATCATAATGTCAGGGCTAGAGCATAAGGGATGAATCTATAACAAATAAATTAGTTCGGTAGGGAACATACCCTTAGAGAAAATAGGGGCTTGGCCACTAAGTTGTTCCAAGACTTGTATTAAAAAAAAAGCCAAATAAAAGTAAAGGTTAATTTTTTTCCCAAGATTTCATTGAATAAACGAAGCCAGAACAAATGCTCCACAGAAAAAAAAAAAGCTACCGAAAATTATAAACAGGGTGCGCGTACCTTAGCAGCTCTGCTGAGCAGATTTTCACTGTTTTCGGTGGAGATGTTCAGAAGCAACTTTTGTACCTTATCTCTCTCATTGAGTTACTCAATTTTTTTCTTGGGAGCCTGTTTCACACAAACAAATAAACTAATCAAAGATCAAGTTTTTTTTTGCATACAACCTACGGTTGAAAGATTTGAAAGAGAACCCTACGATTCAAAGAGAAGAAGCGGCGGAGGCCAAAATAAAATTTTTAAAAAATCAAAGCGCTAATATTTGACAACCGCTTTGAACTCCCTTTCATAGGAGTCATTATTCTAGACTCCACAGGCTCACCGTCCAAGGTCGTCGGATGCTTTACTCTTGTATTAGCTTTAGAATCTAAGGCACATCAGCATCTCATAAACCACATTTTAAAACGGAAACAGTAAAAAGGCTTTTAAAAAAAAAGAAAAAGAAAATTAACCTTCAGATTTGAAGGCAGTGAGAACTATAGCGGCAGATTTTTCTTTCATGGCTCCCTCTGCTATCGGAGATTATTTATCAGATTCGGTAGGAGGGTCAGACTTTTCTGAAATGTCCGAGCAGAAAAAAAAAGATTGTTTATTGTTTGCCGATGGTACCGTCGCTCCTCAAAACTGAAAACCCCTCTTAAGAATCATGCTATGATGTTGTCGCTGCTCAAATATGAAAACCCTTCCTAAAAATCGTGCTATGTTGTCTCCGCTTCTGCATGATATCAATGATGAGGTGTGTATAATTATTGTCCTCGTTCTGCTGCATCGAAGAAGAAGAAGAAGAAGCGGAGATTTGATTAGAGGAATTATTTTTTGGATCTAAACTATAAGACGAAATTTTGAGAATGGTACGGTGAAGAGAGAATTGAGAGTGATTTTAGGAATTTGATCTTACAAACTACATGTGAGATTCAAATTTTGAAGATAAGTTATTATAGGGAATTTGGTCATTGCTGAAACAAACTCACTCCGATGATGGAGCTAAAATTGGGGAGTGTTATTACGGTTTTTCCTTATTATCTTTTTTACATTTGAATTTTTACATTTAAACCGCAAAAATGTTCCTTATTGTCTTCCTTAGACTTTTACGGGTCATAATTAGCTTCTTTTTTTTTGTTTTTTTTTTGTGTGTTTAGTGAAGCCAAATTTTTTCTGAAATTTTGGAGTGTCATGTGTCAGTTTTCATTTTGTACTAAAAAAAACTTTTGACGGGAAAATTTTCAACGTGGAACTGACATGTATTCTTCTTGTATGCTGCTTTAATTAAGTACTATATATGTCTCATTATATAGTAACAGTTTTTTTTTTTTTTTTGTTGGAGAAATGTCTGGAACCGGTGCTTGGTTTTGTGAATACTAAAATCTCTTCCAGCTTAAATCCCCAAAAGTATCATTTTTCGTTTTTGGTATAGGACTGATGTAAAGAAGAAAATTGAAACTACTGTGCTACTTTTGAAGGAAAATAGAATATAGAGCTATAGTCCATAATAATGAAAAAAAAAAGTAAAAAATCATAAAAATAAGACCCCAAAAGTATCTTTCCCTATATAATTTAAGTACAACTTTCGCTCATCATTATTTAAATTTTGGCTTCACACAAGCAACCAAACCTATACTCTCCGTCTCATTTATAAACTTACATTAAAAAAAAAAATTACATTTACATCAAATTTAGCATTATATTATAAATATAATAACAGAGTATTCAATTATACAATAAAAATAAAACTTTGTGTCAAAAAAAAAAAAAGAAATACAAATGCACTATGAATAGGAGCGGAGTATTCCATTATGTATTGAAAATAAAAAATTTTGTGACAAAAAAAAAAAAATCAGGAATAAATATCGGATAATCAGAAACCATTTTAAGGAGAGAAAATCCTCCACACAGACAGAGAGCGAAGCAAGCTGAAGACGGTGGTGTACCAAAAAATGGCGTTTCAACTGTATTCTTCAACGGCCTCAGCTCTCCCGCGCTTCTCTTCGCGCTCCAGTTCCTCCACAAAGCATTGTAAGCTTCTTTGTCTTTTCTCTCTAAGCGCGGTCACACGCAGTTTCTATTTGTTCAAAAGCTGCTGTAAAGATGGCTGCTTTTTTCGCATTTATCTTTTTGTTTAGTTCAAATTTCATGGTTTTTCGAGATGAATAATTGATTTCCTCAAATGGGACAGCCTCGAATTCGGATTCAGCTGGAGTTTCTGTGAGGTGCAGCTTGGATAACGAGAATTGCTCTTCCTCTGGCCATTCATCAGAAAACAATGAGAAAGTGGTCAGCCTTTTCTTTTCTTTTCTTTTTTGGAGGCCGGGGATCAGTTGTGATTTTGGTTGTGTTTATTCTGATTCCATGTTGATGAGGGTCTTGTGTTGAATTTTGTTTGGTTTAAGCAAATATGTTAGTAGATTCTGAACTCATTGTCTTGTTACCCTGATGCTTCTCTAGTCTTTTCAATCAGGTTACTGCTAGCTAATTGTGATTGAATGCTATAGTCTTTATGTTGCATTTCTTGTTTCTTGAGGCTCGGAAGTCGGAGCTGAGTAAAGTAGTCATAGGACTGCCAACGTCCTTGAAACATTGCTTTCTACTAGTCTGTTGTTCCAACCGGTGAACTAAACAATTGTTGTTAAGCAGCTGATAAAACCAATAAACTTATTGTTTTGGGAAGCTTTTTGCTATAGCTGAGGATTGTGAAAAAGCATTAAACCAGAATTTTCTGATTAATAACCCCCACCGAAACTAGTTGTGCGCACTTTGTTAATATCATTATTCATTAGCATCTTGTTTGGGAACAACTAGGAGCCTCATTCCTGAATTATTGGTTACCTGTATGGCCCTTTCGTGTTATACTGTAATCTTTACCTTGAATTTATTGGCCTCACCAAGTCCATTTAATTTTTCCTCCAGTTTACGAAGATTTTAATACAGGTTCTTACATCGAGTTAGGGTGCTACTAAATTTATAGGATACAAGACGGGTTACAGTTCTCGCCCCTTTTTCCATGATTTTCATATCTCTTTCAAGTATGCATGCGCATGCATAGAGCAGAAAGTGCACTGCTTAATTTGTTAAGTTTTCATTAATAGATAAGCTGTGCAAAGTTATTTGATTATTTGAACTTGTGCTGATTACTTGCAAAAGATGCTCTACTTCTATCTATAGTGATAAAAAAAGAATGTATGTGACAATGTTTATTCATGAAGATTGGTTCTCTTGTATTAGGTCTTCAACAAGTCAAGACGTTGGTGTCTGACTTGTTTGTGTTCAACTGTGGCATTGATAAATGTGCCTGGAAGTTCTTCTGAACCTAAGGCAGTTGCAATGGATGGAATGGATAGAGCTGCTTGTCGCAATTGTGGGGGTAGTGGTGCTGTTATCTGTAAGTTCACACTCCCCATTTGTTCTTTCAATGCCATTTCTTTTGTTTCTGTCTGTTATTCCCAACTCTGGTCATGACAAAAAATTATGAAGATGGTGATACTGAAAAGTCGAATTAACTTCGCGGACATTTTTTATTGCTAGCTTCATGTTACATTTGGACAGAAATAATGTTATGGTGCTTGATTTTAAGAATCCCCAATGTTGATCTACAAGTCTACAATGTGATCAGAACATTTTATTTACTGTTGAGGAGACGGCAGATATTTGATTCTATTTTTCTGAAGCTAATTACTAAACATTGATCTAGTGCAATCCAGAGTGGTACTTTCACATTTTAAAACTTTTATTTGCTACACTTGGTATACCATGGCTCAAATTTGTTGCAAGTATCAACACTTCAAATAGAGAGCATCACTGGCACTGACTACTAACAATTACAATCATATTGTATAGGTTGATTCCACATCCACTTTTGTATCTATGATATGTTCACTTGCTTTTCGTTTAGGTGATATGTGTGGTGGTACAGGAAAATGGAAAGCTTTGAATAGAAAACGGGCAAAAGATGTTTATGAGTTTACCGAATGTCCAAATTGCTATGGTATGGGAATCTTCATCCATATACTCTGGAAATACTACTCCTATCGAGTTGCTTCTGTTGCTACTGATCATAACACATTCTGACTAGCTAGCTATACCAAATTCATTTGCAGGTAGAGGGAAACTCGTCTGTCCTGTATGCTTAGGTACTGGTTTGCCCAACAACAAAGGTTTACTTAGAAGACCAGATGCCAAAAAATTACTGGACAAAATGTACAATGGTCGGTTACTACCAAACTCTTAGGTAAGACCGCAATCTGAAACTTTCATTTTGTAGCTTGATCAAGTTCTTCAATTGGATGGCAACCCCATATCCTGTGGAATGTTTTCATTTTTGGTTTTGTCCTGTTTTACTTCTCAGGGATGCAGTTTTCACCGTCTTGTTGATGGCAGCCTGACATTGCAGAAGCATGTCAATTGTCGATGCAGATATAATACAACCAGTGTGTGGAAAGAAAGATTTGAGCCAACCCACCTATGAACAAACCCTTCTCCGGAGAGAACCCTTCTCATTTTTGTCCCGTAATATTGATTAGTAATAATTCTAGAGTTAAAGGGTGGCTTTTTTCTGCTCGTTTTGGCGTGTAAATGTAACAATGTAAGTATTCATGTTTGGTTCACATACATAGATCAGGTAAATTCATTAAAATGATGTACTTGAGATGAACTTTTTACCATTTTTGATGGGTTAAACTAAGGAAAAACATTGATTTTCATTTCTCGAGCTAATGTCACCAACCGAGAAGGGCCTGGAGCCTACACATATTGCCAGATGTAGAAGCATGTAGCATTACACGTGCTATATCAACATGGAAGAGTGTACAAATATAAGATTTGATACTTCTGTTATCTGCATTTATTTTCTAAGAATAGCTTTAAGTTATCCAAAGAAAAGAAGAAGATGAAAGAAGCCCAAAAGAGTTCTTCTAAATCAACATCAACGGATGAAGAGGGACAAGGAGAGTTGTATTCCCCAGCTTTTGCCGTAAAAGTTGATACTGCGCACAAAAACCAGCAGCCGCCGACCAATGAAGAAGGAAATGGAGGCGAAAAGAAGGGTCGAAGGAAGGAAGAAAAGAGCGCCAAAGAAGGAAGAGGAGATAAACAGGGAAAATCTCATCATCAGCAGCAGCAGAAGCATCATAAGGAGGAAGAGAGTACTAACCCTTCTTCCAAGCTTTGATATCAACCACTTTTACCTATGTAACTAGGAGGATCTTTAGATGGAAAAGGCATGATGTTTATGCTTTTAAATGAGATCAATGATATGAACCAAGGATGCACGCATGTTCATTTCTTGGTCAGATCAATAAAGTTACCCAAACAAATTCTGTCCTTCTGCTGGTCGCATCTATTCGATTTTGTTCTGTAAGACTTTTTATATTAAATAAGACACCAGATTGCACATTTCGATTCTGTTATCTTCAGTGTTTCTTTTGAGGTTGTCCCGGGGCAAATACATAAACTTTTGAAGCATTTCAGGCAGGGCAGATTGTCCCAGGATTGACGCAGAAAACCAAACGAGGTTAAGTCATCAATATTCTCCATTATTTGATCATTGAAGACTCACATCTACTGCCTGGATCAACACCTGAAATCCAACATTTAAAGGCTGTCTGTTTCAATTATACATAAAGCATACACAATCTAGCAAACAAAATATTGAAAGTATAATAATAATTCAAAATAATGGCATATAGAGTAGAAAAAGTAACCATTGGATTGGCATTCTTCTCTGTTTCTTCTTCTCCTTGGTCATTCATTAACATCACCATCATGCTTCTTCTTTCTTGAATAGATATCATACTCGTCGTCATCGGATATGAGACATTGAAAGTCGTGGTTTTCCATCTCTCTTTGTAATTCCTCAATTGTTCTTGCTGATTCCAAGACCTTCGGAGATGAAACTACAGTAAGGGTCTTCAAGGTATAAATGTTTCCAAAGCTAGAAGGAATTTCCTCAAGTCTCTTACAATCGAGGCAAGGAAATGGAGTTTTACAATCAGAATCATTTATATGTTCAAGATTCATCTCATACAATTTCAAATATCTGAGGTTTGAGAACTACTCATCTCCCAAATCCCAAGTAGTCCCATTAAATGCATCCAGCCATAATTTGACCGCTTCAAGATTAGGTAGCTTCCCGATGCAAATAATATTAAGATCCTAGGGCAGTGCGTGAACCACACATGGGGGAAGAGAAATTGGATAATTGAGTTCGAAAAAAAGGAATCCACACGCGCATTTATTATGCAAATCATCAGTTTAATTACGTGATCAAATGTTATCCCTTTTTTTCCTCCAAATTTTAATTGTGTGAATTAATTCCTCCAAATTTTATCCCTTTTTTTAGCACATGTTTAATTTCAAATGTTATCTCTTTTAATGTTTATCATGTTGCTTTTATATTATTTTATTTTATGAGATTATTTTTTAGAATAGAGAAGATTGATTTTATTTTAGTAAAATTGAATATGGTTCGTCATCTAAACTTTTGAATATAATTTTATTGATGAATATACATGCGTAAGGTAATGCGTAATGTATGATTATTGATGAACATGGTGTTCATTGTTGTTTTTTGACCAATAGTGTATTATATTATTACGATTTTACGATGAATATCTTATGTTAACTAATGAATAACGAGTTGTTATTGATGAATAACAGAAGTTTTGCTAATTGGACGATGTTTCAACTATGAGGAAGAGGCTTTTGTTGCTTATAATTCTTCCACAAAGCGCATTGGTTTTTTCAATAAACAAGTTCAAAGATTGGAAAATATTCAAATCTGGTGTTGTATATTGGAAACAATTTGCATGTAGCAAACAAGGAGTAAAAAATTCAAGAGGTAGGTGCGATACAACAATGAATAATTATATCAAACTGATGAATACGATAATTTCAACAATGAATAATTATACCAAACTGTGAATAACCCTCTATATCAATATCTACACTTATTGTGGTTTGATTTTTTACAGATTCCGATATCCTGCTTCTTTTGGCTTCTGAATGTTGTTCTTCTCTCATGCTTCTTTCAGATTGTGTCTGATATTCATCGCTCATGCTACAATATATTTACAAATTCCATGAATAACTTGTCAGATGTGATGAATCCGGTAATTTCAACAATGAATAATTATACCAAACTGATGAATAATACAAATATCTAGTAATTTACCAAAAAAAAAATACTACATAGTGATGGTAAACGATGAATCTGGCAATTTCAACAATGAATAATTATACTAAACTGATGAATAATGCAAAGATCTAATAATTTATCAAAAAAATACTACATAATTATAGTAAACGATGAATCTGACAATTTCAACAATGAATAATTATACCAAAACTGATGAATAATACAAAGATCTACTAATTTACCAAAAAAAATAAAATAATACTACATAGTTATAGTAAACAATGAATCTTACAATTTTAACAATGAATAATTATACCAATCTGATGAATAATACACAAATCTACCAATTTATCAGAAAAACAACATCCAATAGAAGAACAAAACTCTAAAATTGATGAATCTAATAATTTTAATAGTTATGAAAACGATGAATTTGATAATTTCAACAATGACTAATTATACCAAACTGATGAATAATTCTCAGATCTTCTAATTTATCAAAAAAAAAAAAGCAAATCGAAGAACATATCTCTAAAATTGATGAACAAACATCGTTAATTGAGTGAACATACCTTAGATCTACATAACCCAAACAAAAAAACCACACCGATGATTGAAGAGAGTAGTTGTATTACCTCGCTTCCCCTTCATCCTCCGATTTGCTCATACTCGGTTTGGAATCCTCAGCCATAAGCATCTACATGAATATTTTAAAAAAAAACAACATTCATCAAACCAGAAAAATCGATGAATTTGACCAGAATACACCTTAATCCTCATCTTCAAATTGTAACTTGTAATCAGAATTATCGTTTTTTATGAACGATTCGATTTAGACTTCGGAAGTCCCGCCGATGGTAGCTTCTCTGAATGTATCGCCGCAGGATTGATTTTTTGGGGTTTCGATTTTTTTTTTTTTTTTTGATTTGGGGAGTAATGGAATAGATCGAATGGAATGTTGTATCATCAATAATGGCTGAAAATTATGAGATAATGGTGGTTATTAAAATTTAAAAATCAAAAAATCACGCATAAAGGGGTATTAAATGGGCGCTTGTTTTTCACTCGGGTGGCAGTGACGTAATTTTTGGAAGTCCCCATTTTTTTAGGCGCGTGTATATCAAACTGGGTACATCTTCTTAGGTGTACCTAGGATCTTTATACTATAATTGGCTTCCCGATCACGGACATGGCCGTCCAAGGGAGTCCTGTTCGAAACGCAGACAACTTCCTGAGAGTGTCAGGAAAGCTTAATCCTAAATTCCTCCAAACAGGATCAGGAATCACTTCGAACCCAAAATACCTAGAGATTTTTAAGCTCTCCAGTTTTTCAAAGATCCAAACATGGATAACCACTTGGGATGTAACTCTGTATCATAGTAGCAAGATAACTATTATGGATGTAAATGGTGTAGATATGTATGAAAATTAATGTAAAGATAAGTTACCATAGTTAGGACTAATTAGCATAATTTACGGAGAAGATTTCTCTGATTGACTGTATGTATTGTATTATTAAAACCCTACTCAAAAACATGGATAGCAAGACTGCCTTTCTGAAAGTCTTCTTCTGTTTCGTTACATGGTATCAATCGCAGGCAACTTATTCCTTCCTGTTGCTTTTATTCAAAATTGATTGATCATGGTTAACACCGAAGGAGAACAAACTCCTCAGACTTCGGCTGTCCAGGGCAGTGGCGATGTGGTTATCTGGCACAAGACGATTTCGCCATACGATCTTACTGCCAATGATTACCCTGGCGCCTCTATCACTCAAGTCCAAATCTGGGGCGAAAGTAATTACGAAAAGTGGTCTAAAGCTGTCCGGACCGCCTTACGTGCCCGGAAAAAGTTTGAATTTATTGATGGTTCTATTCCTCAGCCGCCCGAGACGTTGTCGGATTCTGAAGATTGGTGGACTATTAATTCACTACTTGTGTCGTGGATTATGAACTCGATCGAACCATCGTTTTAGTTGACGATTTCGCACATGGAAGTGGCTCGCGATTTGTGGCTGGATATTCGTGATTCACTGTCGTTGGTAAATGGTCCGAGAATTCAGCAATTGAAGGCAGATTTAGCCAATTGCCGGCAGAAGGGACTCAGTATTACGGCGTACTATAGCCGACTCGAGAATTCGATGTACGTTCAATCTGGCTGTGGCTGCCGAGAAGAAACTTGAAGAAGAAAAGCTTTATCAATTTTTATTGGGGTTGGACAGAAACCCAAGGATCGTGCCGGCAGTAAACCCCACGGTGGAGCTTCTGATCAGACTTTATTCTGCTCCCATTGCAACCGCCCTGATCACGAAATTCTGACGTGCTACAAGCTGATCGGATATCCCGAAGGCTGGTTGCGTGGAAGTGGAGCAGCCGCGGTCGGGGACGCAGCAATGGAGGTCAGGCTCGCGGCGGCGGTGGCGATTTTGGTGCCGGTTTTATTCCCGCTCCAGTGTCGACTCATTCCATGCTTCTGGCTGCTTCTTCCGGGTCGGACTCTTTTGCTGGAGTTGCGGCTGTCACTGGCCTTAATCAGGATCAGTACCCTCCTTTCCTTAATTAATTCGGCCAAATCTAATTCGGATTCTAAGTTGTCCGGTTAGCGTGTTTTTTATAATTGGATGTATGATTCGGGTGCCACACGTCTTATAACAGGTTCTCTTGAATTTTTTGATGATGTTCATGATATTGTGGGTGTTCCGGTTCAACTCCCAAATGGCCAATTTACTGTTGCAACCAAAGCAGGGACTATGGTGCTTAGTAATTGAGTGACATTACACAATGTGCTTTATGTTCCTAGTTTGATGTGTCATTTAATTTTGGTCTCCCAGTTATTGACCGATACTGCCTCTGCTGCTCACTTTACTGCTGGTGTTTGTGTTATACAGGACCTCACTTTGAGGACGTTGATTAGAGCGGGTGAGCAACGGGAGGGGCTTTATTTTTTTTCCGAGATGTGGAGACTGTATCTGCTATGACTTCTACTGGGACAT